TAACAACTTGCTTTTTAACATGTTTGCTAAGAAATTCAGAAAATGAGAGTAAACAGATAAATGGCTGTAGACAATTTATGACTCATGGATACTAATAAAGATAACAAAACGATTTTGATCATTTTCTAAGTAGGATGCAAATTGCCAATGATATCATTAATCAATTTATTTACCAAACATTTACAAGGTGCTAGGGCTGTAGCTTGGTGGTGGAGCCCTTGCCTAATGTGTGATGCTCTAGGTTCAGTGCCTAGCATCACAGATACACACACACACACACACACACACACACACACACACACCCCACAGAGCACATACTATACACCACACTGCCTGTGCTATGATAAAGTATCTAATTATTTATTTATTAAATAGTACAAGTCCTTGCTATGAACCAAGCACTGAACATTGTTCCAGGAAGAATGGAACACATAGCTCAAATTCCCCTACAGTTTTGCCTAACAGGGGCACTGACATCTTCATGTTCACTGCCCTCTGAGGCAGTATGTTTCTTTTGCTGCAACAGCAAACAGAAACACCAAAATCCAAGATCTGGAGGTAGATTTATTTGCATCAACCAGCCTTGATTGGGATAACTCCCAAAATATCAGGCCCCAATATCTGGTGGTGTAGGGCTTATACTGGATAAGCAAGCAGGAAGCACAGAAGCAGAATGGCTTGTCAGTTGGAGATTGGTTTATACACTGTGCATCACAGTGACCAGCCATTTCTAAGAGGCAGAAGAGACTGGAATGAGAACGGGAGCTGTAACCTGGGCAGCTAAGAAACTGAAGTATATTGGCTGGAGGGGAGAATTTCTGTTACACTGGTAATTATTTCTGAATGTCTCCTAGGGGCCCTAAGCTGCAGGTATGGGTCTATACTTGTCCTCAAGGAGCTTATATAGGCTGGACATGTTCCAGTGTCTCTTCCCAAGTCTGTCACCGTGAATTCACTCAACCATACATCTACCAGACAGGAAGAGAGCACACATATTGAAGGGAGAAAATGACCAGGACAGTGGACCAGGTGCTCTGTGAGCTGTGGGCCTGGGGGTTGTGGATGAGGCTGACTCTCCTTGGTGGCTACTCCCTGGTGGCGGTCTGTGACGGTTAATCTTGACTGTCAACCTGATTGGTTTGAGAAATGTCTGGGAAACACACTTCTGGCTGTGTCTGTGGGTTTTTCCAAAGATGAACAGATTGTGAGGGAGATCATAACTTGATGGCATACTATATCTGGGTATATGTGCAACCATTCTGAAGATGACATTATGTAATATAACAACCATGGTTAATATCCTAGCACGATGCTTTGAAATTCTGTATCATTTTTATTGTTCTCTAGGCTGCTTTGTTTATGTATTTGTTCTTGTTATTTTGGGGTTTTTTCTTTTCTCTTTAAAATGAAAAACAAAATGTATATGTATGTACAAGGTTAGCTGGGATAGGTGTATTACTGATGTCTGTGGTTTATTGAAAGGAACAGTCAGTGCTAAAAATTTACTTTTCTTGACTAATTTTGCATGCTTGAATCTGGCAATCAGAATGACTGATCTGAAAATAACAATATGCAGTATAAGAACCATTGTTAGAAAAAAAAAAAAAGAACCATTGTTGAACTCCTACTGTCTTGGATGGTGAAGCTCTGCATCATTTCCAATCTTTTTTTATTACTTGTTACTGTCTTTGATTGTTTGATCAATCTCACATTCTTTTTGTTTTGTTTTGTTTTGTTTTCCAGTACCAGGAATCGAACTCACGACCTTGCGCTTGCTGGGAAGGCGCTGTGCCACTGAGCTAAATCCCCAGCCCCAATCTTACATTCTTAGGTCTGGCAGACTAAGCAACTTCATTGAAGATAACAGTATGTAATGTAGCAACCATTGTTAATTCCTATCATTTTGTTTTGAGGTCATGTGTCATTTTTGTTGTTTTTGTGTTGTTTTGATTTTGTCTTCATTGTTGTTTTGTCAGGTTTTTTTTTTTAATTTTTAAAATAAAAAAAAACTTAATGGCATAGCTTGAGAGGCTGGAGGAAGGAGGTGGAGCCTGACTCCTGGGAGTAGGTCCTGGGGTAGGGCTTGGGGACTGTATCTGGTCTCCGGAGACTGGAGCTCTTGTTCTCTGCTTCCTGGCTATCAGGAGGAAAGGAGCTTTCCTTGGCTATGCCTTTTGCCAGGGTATTTACACCTGGGAGCCAGCTGACCATGGACTGGAGCCTCTGCGGCTGAGAGCCAAATTACACGTCTCCTCCTCTAGGTTGTTTTCCTCTGGGGTTTGGTCACAGTGACAAAACTGACCAGTGCTCAGACTGTCTTTTCCCTTTGCTCAGCCTGCACAGTCCCAGTTTATTGTTTAATGGGATGACCGTATCTGCTTCAGAACAGTGTCGGGCACATAGTAGGTGTCGGGCACATAGTAGGTGTCAAACAAGTATCTATGGCCTGGCTTCTGCCAGTTTCAGCAAGCAACAGAGACCTCCTGGAGGAGGGAGTCCTCGGGGGCCCAGCTTTGGGGGACCTCTGAGGGGCTTTGGGTGCTGGCATAAGCGGACAACCAGCGCTTAGCAGAGCGCCAGGTGTGTAAGAAACGCTCAGGAGAAACAAGCGACGGTGATGACGGTGATCAGGCAAAGCAGCTGGGCTGTCCGAAGACAGAAGCTGGGCCCAGGGCCTCCCCCGAGTGCAGCCAGCTCTGGAACCCAATGGGTGCCTCTGCCTCTCCCTTGTTAGAGGAGCCTGGGTGGCTGGCCCGGGTGCCGGGACATCGACACCGATCATCTGGGAATTTGCCCCAGTGGGGATTTCTGCTGGAGCCTCCCGTCTGGCCAGCGGGTCTCGCAGCTGCCCCAGCAAGGACTAATGCGATGGAACTAGGGTGCTTGCGGCTCCCCCTGCTGGTGAGCCTGGTTCTGCAGTCCCTTGCCGGCTGTGTGCGGGAAGAGAGGCTGGGGACCCTCCTTAGCCTTCCCATGACAAGCCGGAAGTGGCGCATTTGATGTGCAGGGTGACAGAGGATTTGCTAGCTGGCTGCTATTTATAGTGAACATGTTCTCATTTGCCTTATTCCTGTGGCCAGAATCTAGCATTTCCCTTCCTTCGTTTCTCCCTCGCCCTCGGTACATAGTTCTTGATTAATCTCTTGATTTCCACGGTGCCGGTTTCCTTAGAAATTCCCAGGGGCCACAAGGAAGTAGCAACTTGCCCAGCAGATAATGCAGTGACTTCTACCGAAGGCTGCCTGCCCCCAGGCGAGGCCCAGCGCTTTTACAAGTCTTCTTGGCGCGGTCCTCAGGGCATCCCTTAGGGGGTCCTACCATCTTTCCCACCTTGCAGATGGGAAGACTGAGGCCCGGTGCGCGTCCAGAACAGTCAGAGAAGTGCCAGGCTCAAGCCCCAGCTTCTAACCGTAAACGCTTCAAGCCCCAAGAAAGGCCCAGTGCTTCTGGCACTCGGATTGGAAGACAGCAGTGCAGTTTGCTCAAGCAGGTGTTTGCTGGTAGTAAGAAGTTTCTTTTATGTTAAAAATGGACTTGAAACACCGCTTCATCTTGAGTTGTGAGCTAGATAGCTTCTCCTGTTGGTAATTTTACCTCATCCCAGGGTTTGGAAGCAGGTGGCGGCCAGGGAAAGGGTCTGACCCGCAGCAGATTCCCAACTCTCACCTTCCCAGGGCTTGGTCAGTCCAGCCAGGACCGGGGCAGCTGGGCCTCCATGGACAGCAGCACGGTCCCCAGCTAGAGAGCCGGCTGGCCAAGGCTGCAGCCTGAGCAAGGGGCTTCGGGTTTGCTTGTTTCATTTTTCCTGAGCAGTTAGGAAGCTATGGAGACCTAGTAGTGGCTCTTTGCACCCCATCCAGCCACACTCTTCCCTGTGGAGTATGTTCAGGGGAGACAGAAATACAGATGTTAATGGGTCTGAGCGGGGACCCTTGCTTGCCCCTTGTGTCCCAGCTAAGCCTTTGTTAGCGGTGAACTTCCAGTCTGACTGCAGAGCCACCTAGCAGACCAGCAGAGCCATTTCTTGGAAGAGTCCAAGGAGACACGAGACACAGAAGAAAGAGCTGGAGCCCCAGCAGCTTCCCTGAGTGCAGAGGAGATGCACCAGCTGCCCCACCTCGGGAGTCCCTGGACCTACAGCACTGAGGGAGGGTGTCCTGACAGCACGCTGTGAGGACAGAAGGGACCCCCACACACAACGAGTCCCTGAGACATCTCCCCGAAATGAGACGCAGCCCCGAAGAGGAGGCAAACGTGCACAGCAGCTTGGAATGATGCTTCTGCCACCCAGCAAAAGAGGATCAGCATAAAGCCGCGTCCAGTTGTGGAACCAGTCTCACTTCACCGCAACAGGGGATCCCCTAAAGAGCCAAGCTTGCAGGCCGAGAGCCTCACCGGCTCCATGCATGCAGCAGGAGGGCTTCCCGAGGGAGACCCCCACCTCTGTTCTGGAAGGATGACCCCCCGATTCACCCCTCCTGGGCTCAGTGTGGGATTTCAGCTCACAGGCAGGAACCGTGGAGCTGGGGCCTGGGCCCAAGCGTCTGGAGTCCCCGGACTGAGCCGACCCTGCACCCAGCACTGCTATTTCCTAGCCTCGCTCTGCTCTGGCTCCACGGCCTGACCTGATGCGGCTCCTCTCCCACCAGACACACTGACGGGAACTCCCCAGGCACGGGCGGGCTGGCGGGTCCTTCCCACATGTCCCCGTCCCTACCCTCAGCCTCTCACCACCGATCCTGATCCCGAGCAGGTAAGGCTTGCTGAAACACCGCCCCCTTTGTGAAGTGTTCCCAGGCAAGGCCGGCCACACCCTCTTCCGATGACCTCACTGTGCCCGGTCCAGGGGGCTACTACGATGCCTGAGCAGCTCCACTGACTCATCTGTTGTCCTGTCATTTCCTTCCATGACAAGACTGGGGTTTTAGCATGAGAGAGACAGATAGAGAGGTGTCAAAGGAGATTGCTAAGTATTTTGCCACATAAAAGTATTTTGAAAATGTCATGACCCTGGCATTAAGGATGGTCCTTCAAAAGAGTCCTTAAACCTTCTACATGTATACACATGCTGGCCTCAGGTTTCTCACTCGCCCTCAGGACACCGAGGGCAGCCAACTTTTGAGACCCTCTGTCCACGGGCGTGAGCTCCTTCGGGGATGCCTGGCGGCCTGTGAGGTCACATTGTATCACCCGGGGTTGCCCTGGCAACCAGAACCCCAGGGTTGCAGTCAGCTGCGGCCTGAGGCCCCTCCTCTCTCCTCCAGTGGGTTGATCAGCCCCGCTGGAAGCCATCAGAGCTAATGACTCCCACACTGCAGATGAACCTGGGATTTTCTCCGCTGGGTCTGGAGCCCTGGGGCCTGTGGAGAAGGAGGAAAAGAAGAAGATCGAGGAGGAAGAGGTGGGGCTGGCCAGGGCTCCTGAACTCCTCTCAGGGACCAGGGTGGACAAGGGGGGCCTTCACATGATGACCACCAGGTGAGTTGTCAACCCAGGTCTCCACATACCCTGCTTCTTTTAGCCTCCACAGACCCTTCTTATTTTAGCCTCCTTTCACAATGTAGTATAATTGCTAAGGTCTCATTTTCCAGACAAATATTTTGAAAACTTCCCTTACTGTTCTGTAGTAAAATGGACACATAACAGCCCACACCCACTAGGCCCTGTGTTGGAAACACAAACCTGTTTTTCCCCTGTTGTTACAGGACATCAGTCAACACAGAAGACTCCTGTGACCTTAACTGGATTAGCTGGGCTAGGTGGCAGTTAATCCTGGCTCCTCAGGAGGCTGAAGCAGGAGGGTCACAAGCTGGAGCCCAGGCTGGGCAGCTTAGTGAGACGCTGTTTCAAAAAAATAGAAAGGGCTGGGGACGTAGCTCAGTGGCAGAGGGACCCTGAGTTCAATCTCCAGTACTGGAAAAAAAAAAAAAGATGTGGAGATTTCTCCTCACCAGCAAGCAGGTAATTTTGTAGTAAATGCCAGTAGAAGTGTCCCCCAGTCCAGTCCAGGTCTGACCCTGCCTGCCTGGAGATGACACCACACCCCACCAGTTGAGGGCTCAGCCTCAAGAGCCCCCCAGTCCAGAGGCTGAGGGAACACAGCAGCTTTGCCCGCGCTTGCCTGAGTGCCTGTAAACTGAGGCTCCCCCAGCCCTCTGCCTCGCATTCAGTTAATTTCCGAGGTGGCTTACAGGCCGCAGGGAAGCGCTGGTGCTTCCTGGGTAGTAGAAAGGCCACTGCAAAGGAAGGGACAGGGAGGTGCCTGGGACAGGCACGGGAAGCGCGGGGCTGCCCACTGTCCCCAGCAGTGTCGCCAGGAACCTCCGTGTGGCCAGCTGCTGGGAGCCCTCCCAGCTTTAGTTGTGTTCTTGTTTTGTTTGGGTGCAAGCATGACAGGTCACCCCGGCCTCTGGGAATCAACTCCACCTTGTACTCCTCTCTGCTTCTTGGAGCTTGGTCTTTCTCGTGGCCACCACCCATCCTGAAGCTACCGGCCACCAGCCAGCTCACTAAGGGTAGGGTAATGTAGTTTAAACTCAGATCCTTTTAAATTGGTTATTTAAAACTGTGTGTAGTGATGCACGCCTGTAATCCCAGCACTTGGGAGGCTGAGGCAGGAGGATCGTTGTGAGTCTGAGGCCGGCCTGGGCTACAAAGTGAGCTCAAAGCCAACCTGAACTGCATAGTGAGACCCTGTCTCAAAAAGACAAATAAATAAATAAATAAATAAATTTGTTATTTAGAGAGAGGTTCTCACTAAGTCACTAAGTTTCTCAAGCTGGCTTTGAACTTGCAAACCTCCTGCCTCAGCCTCCCAGAGTATTGGGATTACAGGTGTTTGTCACCATCTCCACTAGCAACCCATACTTAAGACACTTACCACTTCAGTGATGGGAAGGATTTTAGGAGTTGTATGCCAGGAAACAAGGAAAAAGAACACAAACAGTTTATGATCTATGTCTAGAAATTATATTGATAAATGTGTATCAAGGAAACGATCCTACTTTTGTCCCTCGTCTTAGTGAGAAAGCTTTGAACTTCGTGCCTTTGAGGACAATGCTAGTTGTAGGGTTTTTGTGGATGTTGTCTTTTTTTTTTTTTTTTTTTTTGGTACCAAAAATCGAACTTGGGACCTTGCACTTGCCAGGCAGGCACTTGTACCACTGAGCTGTATCCCTGGCCAGATGTTCTTTATCAAGCTGAGGAAAGTCCTCCTTATTCCTAGTTTGCTGAGGGTTCTTTTTTTTTTTTTAATCATGAATGACTGTTGTGTTTTGTCAAATGCTTTTTTGTATCTATAATATTTTCAAATAATTTTTCTTATGAAGTGCGGTGTGGTGGCACATGCCTGTAATCCCAGCACTTGGGAGGCTGAGGCAGGAGGATCATTGTGAGTTTGAGGCTAGCCTGAACTGCATAGCGAGACCCAGTCTCAAAAAGACAAAAAAAAAAAAAAACGAAACAGTTTTTCTTTAGCTTATTGATGAATTACATGAATTGATTTTCAAATGTTCAGCCAGTCTTGCATGCCTAGAATAATTCCCATCGGGTTGTAGTGTATAGTTCTTATTTAGACCTTGTTTCACTCAGTTTGCTAATATTTTGTTGAGGGCTTTTTAAAAACCTCTATTTTTGACAGATAATGGTCTGTAGTTAATTTATAATGCCTTCATCTGGATTTGGGGTTAGGGTTATTCCAGCCTCACAGGATGAGTTGGGAAGTATTCCCTTCACTTCTGTAGTTTGGAAGCTATTATAGAATTGGTATAACTTCTTTTAAGAATTTGGTAGAGCTGGGAGTGGTGGCACATGTCTGTAATCCCAGCACCTGGGAGGCTGAGGCAGGAGGATCGTTGCAAGTTCGAGACCAGCCTGGGCTACAAAGTGAGCTCAAGGCCAGCCTGAACTGCATAGTGAGACCCTGTCTAAAAAAGACCAAAAACAAAGTCATGACAATTTGGTAGAATTCACCAGTGAAACATCTGGGCCTAGTGTTTTCTGTTTTGGCTGGTTATTCATTATGAACTCAATTTCTTCAATAGATACAGACCTATTCCAATAGTCTGTGTGAGTTTTAGCAGATTTGTTTAAGGACTTGGTACAACTCATCTGAGGGTATAAAATTTGGGTATGGAATTGTTCATAGTATTTCTTCTTATTATTTTAATATTTTTAGGATCTGTAGTGACAGCCCCGCTTTCATTCTGATATTAGTAATTTGTGTTCTGGTCTCTGTATCTCTCTGTCTCTTTCTTTTCTCTTCTTTTCTCATCCTTCCTCTCCCTCCCTCTTCCTTTCTCTCTTTTCTTTGACAAGTGTCTTTCTATATTGCCCAGGCTGGCCTTGAACTCATGAGCTCTTGCCTCAGCCTCCAGAGTTGTTGGGATTATGAGCAATGTCACCATGCCCAGCTCCTGCTCCTGGTTTGGTTTGGTTTGGTTTGGTTTGGTTTGGTTTGGTTTGGTTTGGTTTGATTTGATTTGGGCTGGGTGGGGTTGGGTGGGGTTGAGCTGACCTGGGTTGGGTTGGGTTTGTTTGTTTTTGAGACAAGGTCTTACTGTATAACCCAGACCAGCTTTGAATTTGCTACGTAGTCTGCACTGGCCTAAAATTTTGCTTTCTTTTCTTTTCTTTTTTTTTGTCTTTTTGAAACAGGGTCTTACTATGCAGTTCAGGCTGGTCTTGAGCTCACTTTGTGACCAGGCTGGTCTCAAACTCGCAATGATGCTCCTGTCTCAGCCTCCCAAGTGCTGGGATTACAGGTGTGCACCACCACACCTGGCTGCTTTCTTCTTGCTCTATCTTTCTCTGCCCATTTATTTTAATCTATATGCATCGTTATATTTTCAGTAAACCTCTTGTAGAAAACATATGCTTAGGTCCTGTTTTCTGATCCAGTGTGACACTCTGTCTTTAAATTTATGTATTTAGATCGCTGATATTCAAAGTGATTATTGATATGAGTAGATTGTTATCTACCACATTTGCAGTGTTTTTGTTTGCTGCCTTTGTTCTTTGTTCCCATTTTTGTCCTGTATTACTTTCTGCCTTTTTTTTTTTTTTTTAATGTTGTTGGCTTTTTTGAGTCAAGGTCTCACTATGTAGTTCAGGCTGACCTTGAACTCACAGTGATACTCCTGCCTCAGCCTCCGAAGTGCTGGGATTACGGGCGTGCACCACCACGCCCGGTCTACTCTATAATTTTTGGAATCATGTGGTAACACCCACATCTATCATGTGCAACAGTGTGAGGTAAGAGCCTGCCCTCCACATCACTTGGTGACCTTGCTGGGCAGAGTGGAAGGTCAGTGTGGCTCCTCCTTCCAGTCCGAGCCCCTGCCCCTTGTTCATGATGGTGGTGGCTGGACTCCACCCAGCCGTCACTGAGGTTTCCCAGCCACCATCTCTGACGCCCGTAGTCATGCTGGGAGGTCTGCTGCTGTTGTCGTTAACCTCATTAACCTTGATTTATGGAGAAGGGAATCAAGTTCCAAGAGGTCCTCCCGCAGGGCTGCCTGTCCTCCCGCCTCTCCGCGCTGCTCCCTACGGGCTGCATGCTCTAAGTGAGAGATTTCACAGAGAAGCCGCTGAGACCTGAGCCCCGCCCGGCAGAGGCTGAGGGTGTGGGCAGGGCTCCATGCAGCTGCCTGGGGCCGGCTCTGCGGAGCCCCAGGATCCCCTCCTGCCAGCGTCCACAACGTCTGCCTCGTCTCTTAGCAACTGTCAGTGGCATCCACAGTAAAGCTGTCTGTGAGAGCAGGGCCGGATCCCATTTCAGAGCCCCTGAGGTCCTCAGGAGGAATTTGCTCTTTCCCCAGCTGCCTAGCGCCTTTGAACTCAGCGTTGTGGGACACAGGCAGCGGCAGGTGATGCAGGGCCGCAGCTCCACACCCAGAGGGTGGTCTGCTCCTTCTTGGCTCCAGGGCTCCAGGCATCAGACCTGGGGTATCCTGGCCTCCTAATCCACCGGGGATACAGCAGGCGCCAAGCTTCTGGTATCAAGGGAAATGACCTCAGAGCTTTGGGCTTGGCTGGCAAGCCACCGTCCAGACTTAAAGGTCCCTGTAGGCATCTGTCACCAGAGCCGGAAGGTCCTATTCCCCCCAACACCCCAACCTTCCAGAAGGTTGCTGAGCCTTGCAGGAAAGCAGACAGAATTTTAGGACAAAGCAAGATGAGACCTATGTATTTCAAAGCTCCTTTCCTGGGCATTTGGTTCCCCGGATCTGAAATAGCTTCCCTATTAGTCCAGGGGAGGAAAAAGAGGCTTGCTTTGTGTGGCTTGGCCTGGGGGCCTGGATAAGACCCTCTCTCACCCCCGGCTATCTAGTGCTGTACCTCACAAGGGAAGAGAAACCAAAATAAAGACTGCTCTTTACCCTGCGTACCCTACATGGCCCCTACCTCCACCCTCTCCCCGCAGCCTGGGAAAAATGTGGGATGGTTCCAGTCTGTCCCCTCAGCACAGCTGAGGAAGT